TACTTGGAAGAAGACATATATGACACTCTATCTGGTCTAGCTTCATGCAAGGCTAAGGACGTGCCGGGTTAAGAATGTTGTCTGAATGAAGATTCCTCTTGTACTTACTTTGCGGAAGAAAACACCTACAAAAGACAAAAAAATGCATTTGTTATTACAACATGTCACTTATCAGGTTAATCATTCATGTCACTTATCAGGTTGTAAACCAATACATGTAATATGCATGTATACCCAAATGTTCAGTATTCTGATTTGTTACTTAAACTTTCAATTTGGAAAAAACGGATAAAAGTGAGTGATGATCTATGAACCAATGACACGACTTTGGAACTTTACTCAAACATACCAAAATTAACTGGTTCATATAATATTATTCCACTGTACTATGCCAACTAGCCCAGGTGGACTCCCTGACTGTACCAGTTGTATGTAAATGTAGACTGGCATCCAACCTGGCCCAGCATGTTACAGGTGTAATAATAAATGTACATGTGCTTATGTAGGCCTACCTGTAGGCTGTTCATGTCAAAATCAATCAATCAAGCAACATTTATTTCCATAATGCCAAAAGATTCCAATACAATACAACAGAATAAATTAAATATACATGTAAAAAGCCTAGTTAATATCATACAAATTGATAGATAAAATCAAGAACATAAGTATAACAAGGCGAAAAAGAGGGGAAAGTGATGAAGGCCACAATAAGCCAAAAGCACAGTGAAACAAACTAATGATAGACCAGGCCTTAAAACTATCACTATAGAAAAAGAAATACCCATCCAAAAACATTTGAGAAAAACTTGCCACGCCAGTCAATGATGATTGATGAATACCGATCATAAAACCAACACTTGAACCATGACAATTGGTTCAGTTGTATATGTTGTTTCTCATCGGTGTCGGTAAGTTTCCTTGCTAATTTCAAATAATGAAATAGGCTGGTATTACATGTACGCGTGATATAAACACTCTATCCCTTCCCCAACCCAAATAGGCTGGGCCTTCAAAGTTGGCCGCCCTTGAGCATTGTTGGGAGGAACGCAAACACAGCAACGAACATTAACATTGAGCAACGTTGGTCAGGCATTATTTAGGCCTCCTTGGGACCTTGGCAAGCTTCGTGAACCGAAATGGAACGGCTTTATGCAACATGATGACAAGAAAGGATTTGTAATTCCCTACGTTCGAATAGACAGCAAAGATCGTATAGCGCCGCAAAGGTAGACTGGCTCTATCATTGAGTGAGTATCAGTGTCTAAAATTATAGGGGAGCCTACCTTGAACTTTGCCAAATATTTCAAAATCCACGGAAACCAACGCAGACGACACTCTCGCCGCCATTTTGAATGTGCAAAGTAGAGAATTATGGCGAATCTATTTTACAGATGGGGAACGTTAGTGAACAACATGGGGACTAATTGCGTCAGTTGGATTCGACACTACAATAAATGAATAAATTATTTTTTTTGTCAAGAAATAGTATTTTTTAGATATTAAAATAGCAATGATGTGATCATCAAGAAAAAACCCTATGATAATATAATTCTCCTGCAGCTTGTCTATACTTGATCCACCCCTATGTAAAAATTGAACTGAGGGAAATCTAACATGGCGGCGTGCTGAGAAATGCGTTTTCACGATGATGCGCTTTAAATTGAGTGGATTTCCTTGTTATTAAGAGAAACCTGACGAAATATTGATCATTTCAAGAATGGAGTTGAAAAGCGACAGAGAACTTAAGCTTGGCTTTAAGCCTCAGCACGAAACTGTGTACAATAAACTTCTTCCTTACGCCAGTGACATTGACGTGGAATCGAACAAGCTGCTCGCGGAGATCAAGGGAAATTTGGCCCGTACCGTTCTCCTCAGGGAGCTCCGACCTGGTGCTGTGTTCTGGATTGCCCGGCTGAACACGTAAGAAAAATCGTGTGGTTGTTGATTTTGCTGACTAATGTATCTACCAATACCCTTGTCATGTGTGTTTATTTGTTACGTATCTTTAAGTTCCATTGTGCTGTATGTAGGGAAATTTGTCTCGGCCCTAAAATTTTTCAGACAAGCCTCGTACTAGGCCTACGTCATGTACGTGTACATGTACATGTAGGTTTGTGCATGATAGGTTGGCTACATCATGTACTTATTCCTCGTTGGGTTTCAATGTTAAATAATTAACGCCAGGAGTTTTACATTCGGCAGCACTTAAGCAGCTAGGTTGCAGACCTCCAACAAAGCACTTGCTGTCATTCGGTCGGAAACAGAAACAAGAGAGCACCCTCCAAAAATAAAGAAATAGGCCTAAAACAAAATAGACTAAAATTCTCAAAAAGAAGTGCTGCAGCAGTCACTGCCCATCGAACCTGGTAATTGTGTTTTCTGATGAGCTGTCGGTCTGGCCAAAGGCCTCATTTAGCCAAAAGGGACCCTCACTGGTCTGCACATTTATGCGCTTTTGCAATCATGGTCATTTTCTCCTAGTTTTGTGGCATGTTTTTACATTATTTTGAGTTTCAGCTCTAGCATTATAAAATATCACATTTTAATTTATTATTGAAAGCCCATACATAGTACATGTACACGTATTAAACTTGAACATCGGTTTTGAGGGTGGGGATAAAATGATTTGTAATAAGCCTCCCCCTCTCTCTCCCCTCCCCCTCCTCCCACTCACTGCTTCCATCATTTTATAAACTAGGCATGTTGAACTTTGATCTTGGGAACCGTACATGTGAAAGCTCATCATAATATCAATACCAGGGGTATGATTGTCCACAGTATGTGCATTTAGATTGATGTAATCCTTATTTTGGGTTTCAATAATGGCTACTGATCAAAGGTGCTGATGTCACGAATGTCATGCATAATTCGGTGCATTCAACACATGTAGCACTGCATAGTACATATATGTACATACACTGTACTCGCTTGAATTTGAAATGAATAGAAAAAATTGGGGGGTTTTGTAACCTTTCCAGAAAAAAATTGGTGTCAAAATTCCTAATCATTTAAATGATTTTTGTATATAATGTACATGTAAATGTATAAACTACATGTGCATGTACAATTTAAACCTATTGCCAGTTACAGTCACATTCCATTAATTAAGATTGGAAATCCCATGCCATGTGTCAAGGTCATTATTGAAAGTTCTTTGTACATTTACGATATGTGTGTGGGCTTACTTTCTGGTTGTACATCATAGTTCTTTGTCATCTCTATCCACGCAGGTACATGACATTGTATGGCCACAAGTTTTCCAAGGAGGACCATGTGTTGTTGATCAAGCTGGTGTACGAATTGATTATGATTCCAGACCTGGAGCTGGCCCTTCTTGACAAGTTTTCAGCCAACCTCTGTCGCCTTCTCAAGTATGTGGTTGTTACAATCGGGTCTGGCCCACTCAGTGTACAGATTGCATGAAGCCTTTTCACTCTCACACTACAGCCGCTCGATCCGGGTTCAGCTCAACCCTGGGCAAACTCATGACTGTCGTGGGTTCTGAATGTCCTGACTGTCCTAACCTGAGCTCATCATGCCGAGTTCATCCTGGAAATGAGCAGGGACAGTTTTCAACCCTGGTTGAAAAATCTCAACCCTGGTCATGCTGGTCTGGAGCAGAGCTGAGTTAAACCAGCTGGGTTGAAGTTGATACAGAGTTGGCGCAGGGTTGCAAATTTCAAATGTGAATCGCTGCCAGTTTTCAACCCTACATCAACTGTTTGTTAACTCTGAGGTTTGTCTAGCATGAAAAAGCCAACATGTACATGTTTAGTCGAGTCCAGCCCATTAGGTTGTGGTCTTGGGTAAGACTTTGTGTGCATACTTTGCTTTACCTCAGGGGACAGACACACAGAGGGACAACAATAGAGTCTTTGTTGTCCTCAGAGGGGGGAGGGGAGGGGGTGGAAGTCATATTTTATAAAGAACTGTCCTCAGTGGTTAGTTTGTGTGGTTGTCAGGGTTTTCCTTTAACTTTGTCAAATTCTGTTTAACTATCTAGCCCAACCAGTATAAGGCCCCCCAAAAAAGACTCCCGTTTCTGGTCATGGGCTTGGTCCAAAAGTGGTGCAGTGATGCGTTTGTTTGTTTGTTTTTTCCCTCCTCATTTTTTTCCTCACTGACACTGAAATAGACTGGCCCCTCATGGTTTGTTGCTCAAAAGCATTTTCAATTTGTATACTTACGCAGGATGCAAGACCACTTTGTTTGTCTGGTTCACAGACGTACATGTACATGGGCCCGGGTCCCAATCAATTGCCGATAATTACACTGAGTACTTGGCAGCATCCACGGCTAGTTCCCATAGAATCATGCATAATATCAAGCCGCGGCCAACTGATTCGGACACGGCCTTCGTGTTAAAATACACGAATGACATCATCTGATCAGAGTGCCCAACTGAAATGTGTGGAGGCCTAAGGGAATTCCTTTACCGTGCATATTACTCAATCCCACCCATTAAAAACACGTTGAAATTATGCGGTAGCAGAATTCCTGCCGATCAAGTACATGTAGGTTTGGCGGCTTTCGGAAATCGTTTTAAGCAAAATAAAAAAATTGTTTATTTTGCCGACATGCAGGTCTATAGGGACACACGTGGTGACCAGAAACCGGAGACTTTTTGGGGGGCCTAAAGTGTTACTCAGATATCTCTACAATTATTTGCTACATGTCAGTTTTGTTTAATTTCTCTTTCAATGAAATTAGGTGGAAGGTTAAATATTTGTGCACAAATTTCATGTACAAAAGTGTAAATTGTACAAAACAACTGGATTAGTGAATCCTGAAAAAGGATTGCTGTCGCCTGTTGAAAGTGTGGCTCTGAAGACCCATGCTTGCCTATCTCGGTGGGTTTTTTTTTGGCCAAGCTGCAGGACTCTGATAAAATTAGTGGATCAAAGGGAAGCACAATTGTAAAATATAAAATTTGTGTTTGTAAAGTTTCTCACTACCCAGGAGGAAATAGCTGTTGTTGAAATGTATACATACACGTATGTACATGTACATGTATACAGTATTTAGGACCATTGTTTGTGTCAGATGAAGTGGTTGTGGGCTGGCTGAGTATAAAGGAAAGCGGGGATATTATGTTCTGGAGTGTTGATACTAGTGGATACCGATTTCATACAGATTCTATGATGTATGTAGCTCACACAGCCTGTTCCTTTCCTTCAATTCTGTCTTTGCAAACAGAAAGCGCAAATTGCTCTCCAGAGAAGATCTGGTGTTGCCATGGAGACCTTTCCATGAATTGGTGGAACAAGTGTTGTGCTCCCAGTATGAAGATCTGGGACTGGTTTGGTTTCCGAGGTAGGATATTTGCAACTTTTTCTCTGGGGGAAAAAAAATCATAGAATTACTTTTTAGAAATTGGGATAACGATAAGCCTTTTACCAGGTATTTTGAAAACTGCTGGAATTACAAAAAAAGTAACCTGTAGTTGCTTCTTCTGCAAGAGGGCATTTTCATGTAGAAGCTTAGTCATCCTGAATTTTGTTTGCATATACATTTAAATAGAACACCTGACAGTATGTCCTTTGTAGAAAATTTCATAGTAAAGAATACAGCAAGGCTGATTAAGTAGGAGAAATTTAAAGGATAGTTCATAGCATGTACATTATTTGTATACAGTGTGTATAGCAATTGCCCTGTATACTGACATGGAAAACTAAACGAAGCATAAAACAATGAAACGCTTTCAGCTGCTTCTGTTGAGTGTTTACATCCAAACGTTGTTTTCACTTCTGAGAGAGTAAACTGAGTTGTCTTTTCAACCACAGGACCTTGGAAGCAAATCTGAAGAATGTAGTGAGATCTGTAAGGCCGTAAGTTGCCAGGCTTTTTTCTGTTCTCAGAGGAACAAGCGTTGCCTCGTTAACATGGTTAAAAGCAGTTTCACCTCATGGAATAGACTTATTCACTTTGCTACAAAAGTTAGAAATGACAAGAGAAGCGGCCTGTATCTGACTGACAATGAACCTTTCAAATTTCTTTTTTCTAACGGTACCATCTTTTAACCACTCAGTCAGTCAGTGGTTCACCTTGAAAGAGCCTCAATTCTCCTCAGGGGATCTTCATTCTGTGCATTATGCTATGCTTCCTTTTTTGGAAATGAATCTAAATATCTTGCCCTGGCTAGTGAAATGTGAGTAGGATAAAGTGAAACAGTATACTAGATTAGAAAGTTGGTTCATAACTTTAATAGCGCATGTATTAATTTAAAACCTTGCTCTGTGAGACGGTCCAAAACATTTCAACACTTGCACATGTGCCTACGTTAATGAACAGTTTAACTCATGACATGTAGCCTTTGTATTCACTGAGGAATCCTGAATAACAAAACAATAGAGAAGTCGGGAGTAACAGGCAGGGCAGTTTGGATTGGTGGAGGGACTAATGGGTGAAAGGGCGAGGGGTAATTACTGGATGCCAATCTGTCTCTTTTTTTCCATCAGCTACTTCCCAGTAGAGAGCACCCAGGAGATGTTAGATGAGTGGAGACCGTTGCTCTGTCCCTTCGATGAGTCCATGAATAAAGGCATCGCTTACCTGGAGTTGTTCCTCCCAACACTCTTGCCACCAGAGCAACACCAGTTTGGTTTCAAGTCAGTTCAGCTGCTGTATTTTTTCTGCTTAGCATTACTTTGTCAAGTTACTTTATTTACAAAGTTCGTGGATTTGTGTACTCAAGTTTGGAGTTCCTGAAAGTTGAATTGCTCATACTTTTATACCATTCACCTTCCTCAGTTTCTGATAAAAGCAACTAAAATGCCTGCTGGCGGAAGATTACTTCATTTCAGTAAATGAATAATTGGATTGACTGTACTGATTTTAAAAGAATGGCATTTATTCAGTACTTTATGACAAAGAGTATAATAAAGACTGAAGTCAATTTCTTTCTAATACCCTCTGTTACTTTTTATTTTACTATTTACTCTTTATTTTCATCTTTTTGACTTTTTTCTTATGGGAAAGTCCTCATTTAATTGCCTGAGGCTTTGATTACAGACATTGATCCTTCATGGCAGATTTGTTGTTGCATCTTGGATTGTTGGATTCTTCTTGTAGGAGAAGTTGATTGAACTTATAGTTGCCATAATGGTTTATGTTGTGCTTGCTTCTATAGGCTGTGGTTGGATGAGCTTCTGGGCATATGGGACTCGCCACACAACGGCATGACATGGGAAGGGGTGAGTGTTGTTGTCATATATCCATTCCAATGTGTTTGTCACACGTCTCTGTAGATCAGTAGGCAAGGCTGAAGAGAAGACCTCTGCATTTGTAATTGTGCATAATTCTGTAACTGTTTGTAACTTAGAAATCATTCATTATTACCAACTAGTCATGGGCAAACTCCAAACTTTTGAGAAGATGCTGGATTGCTCTAAATACTTAAGTTTGCATCCAAGATTTTTCTCCAAGAGGAGTTTCATATTTTGACATGTTCTCTGTCCATCAACAGAAACTGGTTGAGCTTTTTTCAAGGGTAGCCAGCAACAACATTGGATACATTGATTGGGAGCCCTACATGCCAAAGGTTAGGCTTTCTGAAGATTCTCCTAGAAAAGTCTGTGTGAAAAATGTACAGGAAAGTCATTCCAAATGGAATGCTTGTTCATTCTTTTCAAAAGGTATTATTTCATTGATGACAGTAAACTTATTTAATGCATAATTCATTTTAATCTTATTTACTTCATTTGAGACATTTAGTGTCCAATTACAGTTTGACTTTGCAAATGTGGGCGCCGAAAATGAAAAAGTTGTGGTGCTTGTGTTGATAAAATATAAGAACACCATTTTCATAAATCCTGTCTGTTTGATATAAATGCTAAACTCACCTGGTTTCCTTTGCAAAAATTGTTGACTATTTTCTATAAAAGCTCCAAGAGTCAGTTTGGGTACAGTTAGCAGTTTCATGCAGAAAATGAGTATTTATTATCAATTTCTGTCAGCCAGATTGGGCCCAGTATGAAAAGTCAACGTCGGCAGAAATAGTTCACTCAAGTAGCCTTCAGAAACAGATGCGCAGAAAATCAACATCTTTGTTGCTTCTTTTGTCCCATCCAATTCAGATCTTCACTCGCTTCATGCGTGGACTAAACCTTCCCGTCGGAGCCAAGAAACAGCAGGTCAGCAGCCAAATCAAAGGATTCGACACTAGCGTTGCTGCAACTTGGATTGTGTCCATACTGGTAGGTCTGCAGCCTTTTTCTCCTTCTTATAAATTGGTATGATACTGATGCTGATGCCATCCCCTATGGTAAACAGCTGCTCTAAGTGTCAGTGGTTAAAAGGCTGATACAGATATGAATTATCAAGTGCATGATATTTACATGGTTTTGATGAAGAAATTGAAGGCATGATTTGTTTGTGTGATATTTCTTTTCTATTGTAAGGAGACATGTGCCGTATGGTTTTTTTTTTATTTAGCTGTATCAGGTCCTGTAACGTTCATTTATCCAAGTTTTCTGTTCTTCCGACCTTTTACCAGGGCCACAGTAAGACATGTCAGGAGCATCTTTCCAACTTCTTCAATGCTGTTGAGTCCTATTTCCACCCATCCAACATTGGCAAATACACAGTAAGTAGCTTGTCTTGTAAAGATTGATTTGAATGTGAACTAATTTGCCATAATCATGCCACAGACAGTTCACTCACTGTTGTTCAACGCCTACTCCAAGAAACTGGCTGGGCTTAGAGATGTGCAGTTGAGTCATCATGGTTAACTCACAGAACTGCAAGGCAGAAAAAGTGGCAAATGAGCGTGCTAAGTAAAAATCTGCTTAAAACCTGTCAAGGATACTGCACATTGCATGATAATTAATTTTGTTGCCACCTGTTGCTTAGCAAACATTTTCTATCCTTACCACATGGATGTGCTCATAATTACCTTCCTAAATGTTCAAATAATAAAACTGACCCAGAAAATGTTCCCTTTATGGAGAATTCCAATTAACTGGTTCCAATTTTCATGACACGAGCCGATGAAGCTCATGAAAAAGAGTTTTTGCTACTTGTAGCCCTTGATTTTTCTCATTGATTTTACAGCCTAAATTGCAGCCAATCCTGTCTCATCTGCCATCTGCTTTCACAAAACGGCTGCGAAGGTAAGTGATTTTGTGTTCACTTTTTACTGGTTTCTGTTTCATGCTGCCTGAGAGCTCAGCGAACCCAGTCCAGCGAACCCATACATGTAATACTTCCCAGTGTCATTATATTTTACCAGCTGCACTGATTTAAACCCAAACAAACTCTTTTTACCTCCAGGGAGAGGTACAAGGAGCCATCTTGGGTCCATCCTGTCCCTGACTCCCACAAGTTGAGTGACGATGACATCACCGCCTTTGTGGAGTGTCTGAAGCCCTCCGTGTTCCTGGCCATGTACAGCAAGATTGGTAGCATGGAAGCAGCCAGTGCCCTGCTGCACATGGCCCGCGTCAGGCCTGAACTTGTCTTGCCACAGCTCTTGGAAAAGTGGGTACATTTTACTCCATAGTTGAGTCATGTTTTGGCCACGTGAGGAGTCTGCAGCAAAACTGAAACTTGTTTGCCAGATATGAGCAACTTCATGGTGTTTTGTGATTCATCATCTTTGTTCAGTTTGTGGAACGTTTTAGTTCAGAATATTCATTTTTCAGCACAATTTGCACATTTCAATTAAAAAAAATTGATAAATATTGCAAGGTCACGTGGACCTAAAGTTTCTTCAGTTTTTCTGACTTCCCACGTATATGCCAGAGAACAGTGATGGCTCTAGAAAGAATACACATTCTTGGACCACTTGAAGCTACAGTAATCTCAGGATGGCTTGTTATTGTCTTTGTTGCTAAATGTTACCTACATGGCGTGAGAGTTTTAATTTCTCTACCAGGAAGAGGAAAAATGAAGTCCCCTTCAGCATTTATTGTGACCCTTGAGATATATTCAAGATGTACACAAATCTTTGGTGAAAATGTTATGATTAGCATCCAGCATTTCCTAGAGTGCCTGCCAAGTAGAGTGGATCCTGTTAGATGTTTGTCCCAGTGTCATCCCATCAAGAGTCTTGAGGACCTGACTGTCAGGGCATGCTTAAACCATCTCATTCTGTCTGGGTTCCAGAACCTACACTGCTTTGGATACTCTGATAGAGCCGCACCAGCTCATTGCTACGGTCAGCTGCGTGGTGTCTGTGTCTAGGAGTCTCTTGAGGAGCACCAAGTGGTACCCAGAGGGACCCACCCACCTGCTCCCGCTGCTGAATGCAATGCTGCCCGGCATCGACCCCAACGATTTTGCCAAGTGCATGGTGAGTGACATGGGCATTGGTTGAACGTCAGAGCGCGGCTAGGATGACTAACGAAATCCTCAGGCAAGATGGTTCCAAAATGTAACGTTATAAACGCTACTTGAAAATAGGAAATGTTGGATACATCCATGTGGATGATGTACCCCAGTAACGTTCACTTGGCAGTCTTTGCACACATACTACCAGGCAGAGTAGCCAGCCTTGAATTATCTGCCCCGTTGTGACCATGGAGCAGCACCGAAAAATTAGATCTCTGCTTCAAAATATTGTTTGAATCTACTTTTTCTGCATTAAACGTAAATTTGATTTGGTCTTGGCACATGGAAAACTTGTGCAACTTGACCAAAACACATGATTTCCTGAGCACGTGGCACATTTTCTAGAGAAGTTCGGTCAGCAGTCTGTCAGATGCGATGTGCTAGGTTAAATACTTTTTGTAACCTTTTTGAATCTTTCTTTGCATTCCACAGATCACATTTCAGACCATCTCAACGTTCATCTCGTTGGTACCGCTGGTGGACTGTTCAGAGGCACCCCTGGTCAGGGATGACCTGACTGAGCAAGAGAGAGAGCTGTGCTCAGCAACGGCTGGCTTTGAAGACTTCATCCTGACATTCATGGATAGGTATTCAGAAAAGAATTGTATTTCCTTCCTAATTGATGACTCCAAATGAAAGCATATTGATCTTGACCTCTTTATTATTCAAGCTTCTCTGCCTCCTTGCCCCCTTCAGAAAATGTGTTTATCCAAACTTTTCCCCAATCCCAAGTGATTCACATTTGCACTCCCTCCCTCCCAGAAGAGATTTGTGTTCATGGTGTACCAGCAAAAGATCACTTCCCTATTGCTTGGTACTAAAATGAGAAGGCACTTTAAACTCCCCCTCCAACAGGTGCTTCAGTCTGATTGACAACAGCAGCATGGAACACACCAGGTCACAGGACAGCCTGAATCCCAATAGGGCCAACCAGCAGGAGAGCTTGGTGGATGTAGGTCTGACGTCCACCTTCAGCACCATTGTGACACAGAGCTCACCTCAGTTGTACAAGGTGAATGGTGGGAATGGGGTGGTTGTGTGTATTTACAGGTAGGACAGGAATGAGGTACCCTACTGAAGTGAAACAAAGTACCTTGGTACCCATAAAAGAAACCTAATCCAAAATCCCCCCCCCCAAAAAAAGGCATATGTGGTCTTACCCAAAGCTCTCATCAACTGTCTTTGCATATGAAAACCAGTTTCAGCATTCCCACATAGCCTGTTTTTTATTTTGAAAATTCACAACGAAAACCTTTTGAAACTTTTTTTTTCATTGTCAAACAAGTTTCTGAGTAATTTTTGATTATAGGATTATAGGTACCTGGTCCCATAATTCGGAACTGGTTCCTGACTTCAGGGTTGGTGATGTGGGTGCCTGTGGTTCTGATGCCAGCTCCAGCATAGGGTCTTGTCAGTGTGGTAGTTGAGTCGGTCACGTCCTTGCAAGTCCACCACAAGTCCACCACAAGTCTTGTGAAGATATGAGCTGTTCAAATATTCTTCGACAATAAAATTCCTTTGTCTTTGTTCACTCTTTTAAGTGTGACCAGTCTTCTGAAAGGACTGTTTACTGGGCTAGTGGAAAGACTTGGGAGGGATTTGACAACACATGGAGTCCCCCTGGTTGTGAAAATGAAGCAGTTCACTGTTCAGGGCTCTTCCGAGTCACATTCAGGTTATTCAGTGAATTATCTTTCTTGCACAGTTGCAGAAGCAAGGGCAAAAGCATTGTACATCCCAGGCCCCAAATGTATAGAGTTCTCAAAGTCTAAGTCAGGAACTTGATACGAAACTTGATATGAAAGAATGAAAAGCAGTAGTCACCACTTGGCATTGTTAAATGCCCATTTAGGATCGCAGGGTTTTTTATTGCATAGTACTGTGTGGTTTTCATACAGGTTGCCCTGGATAAGCTGTTTTCCTTCGTAGCAAACAAAGTGCTGGAGACCAAAGTAGCTGGCAAGATGGTGGCTCATATGTGTCGGTCAGCAGCAAAGGTAAGCTGGTCATGGGCCTGTGAGTTAGTTGCTGAGTAACACCCGATTCAGACAGGTGGGAGAGGCGTTTTGACCCAAATAGAATTTAAGAGCGACCCGGGTCGACCCAATTAACTTTTGGTTTCAGACAGACGAACTTAATATGTACATTTGCATTGGGTTTAGCCCACAAAAAGAGAGACATCTGAAACCAAGTCGCTCTGGTGTCATTCCGAGTGCCTCCAAGTGTCGATCTTTCACCTGCTAGCACACCTGGTCGCTCCTAATTTTTCAGATGTCGCACTTTTACCATACTTAATTCAAAATTTGTTTTAATTTGTTTTGGCGTGACTCTGGAGCACCTGTCTGAAATGGGTGTTGGGCACAGATTTGAAATTCAAATCACAGTTGACTAATGGACACATTGAGGTTTTCTCCATCTTTTTATTATTTCATGGTATTAATGTAAATTTCCCAGAGTCATATAGTTCACATGTCTTGTACTTTTTCCTTCTCGTATCATTTCTCAGGCCAATGCTAAAATGGCTCTGCATAAGTTCATCCCTCACTGCAGTGGTATCATCCTCAATCTGACAGCCTCTGAGGACGTCCAGTTGGAAGAACATCTAGATGGAGAACTCCTCTTCAATCTCCAGATTTTATCCGAGGTAAATATTAAACAATGCCCTCAACAGTTGTTCTTCTAGGCCAGCCAGGGCACTGCTCTTTCAAATTGGCCCCCGAGTTTGAGCCCACTTTTGTACCCCTCACCCCCGCTGTCATGCAGATTGTCCAGTGTCCCAGCCAGGAGCTTCTTGAGCACCAGTCTACTTGGTTGACGTCCTGCAATCCACCCTCCATCTAACCTGCAAGGAGGGTTATGGGTTCGCCTGTACCCTCTTGAAACACACCCTCAAGGCCTGCTGTACGATCTACCCGATGGAGCACTGCAGTGTACCTGGAGGACTAGACAGACCACTCAATGAGTACCTGCCAATTAGGGTAGGAAGGTCTCTAATGTTTTTTTTTTCTCTCTAAAAGTGTGTTCTAATCAGAGACATTATTAAATCATTGTCAGTCATCACTAGCCGATCTCAAATCAGTCACAAGTTGTCAAGTAGGGAAGTTGTTTTGCTGGTATACTGTGGAATATATCTCATTTGTGAACACGTAATGGCTCTTAAAGGTCTAGCGAAGGTAGAATGCTAGAAAAATGTAATTGAGCCATCCCGACCGCTTCTGTAGTTATGTTACAGTGTTCTCCGTTACTTGCTCTGCTTGGATTAGCTGATAATCATATTTTCGTTCTCGCTATTCAGGACTGGGGTACGTCTACCAGCATCGACAACCTGGACATAAAGTGGCATCTACCGACCGAGAGGAGTGTCACAGCCCTCAAAGACCTGATGAAGATGTTCTTCAATCCGGAGATTTCCAAGATTCAGGATTTCATCAAGGGGCAAGAGCTTTCCAGGTAGATGAGGCTCAGCTGACTTTGTTGGTATCGGGAATCAGATTGTTCGTTTCTCAGTCAGCGCTGCAGTGGCTGCACAGAATTCTTTTTTTATTTTCTCCACACCAGCCAGCCTGGCATTCCCTTGTAGAACAAACCAAGCAGGCTTCATCCAATATCGAGAGAACCAGCTCCAAGAACCAGTTGTAAACTCGGCCAAGGCATTTCAAGGGGCATACCTTCAATCTATTAATATGGATGTTTCACCTTGCAAACTTCCATCCGCATTGTGTGTCTGAAGTTGGAATGGGACTCCAGAATCCTGTTGTATAAACCACATCTTTCTCATCCTACTTTTCCTTTGGAATTAAAAATCACTTCCCATATTTCTTTACCTACCAATCCTGTTACAGTGCACCAAAGTGGTACCCAATAACAGCTATCTGCTTGCAATCTTTCAATTCAAACTATAATATTAAATGACTGGATTTTCAACTCCCTCCACTCATTTCCAACCACCAACAAAGCTTTTTATGTATTATACCACGATGGACAGAAAGTTGGAACGGTCAATTTAATCATCACCTTTATCTTATTACAGGGAGCAACTTCTTCAGAGCCTTACCATAGTTCATGAGACCCTCGTGGGTGCTGGCTTTGTGATACCCAGGTGGAATAAACCTGTTGTACCTAATTTGTAAGTGTACCTTGAGAAGTAGGCAATGCGGATTTTGTTCCTGAATACAGTCACCTGAGAAAATTCTATAAATCACTCCTGACACCCACAGAGATTGACGTTACTTGTTTGAAACACCGGATTTGGGAATTTCTTGGCCACACAGAATCGACACTATCAATGAAGAGAGAGGCCCCTTCTTAATGCAAGTTGGCATCTCAGAGTTCAGTTCAGCCTTCGCCGGTATGCGGGAAGAGCTGATCCTTGTCGTACACGATCTGATGAACCACATGCTGGCAACTGGGGAAGATGACACCAAAGCTTTGCGGCTTGTGTGCAAGGTAAGATGGATAGAATAGGAGGATAGGGAAAGGTTGCAGTGAGCAAAGAGAGGGGCCTTTGATGCCTTCATGCCTGAGGACGTGTAAACCTGTTATGATTATCAATGACAGTTTTGCTGTGAACATGTCTGAACAACTGCTATTCACAATAGTGGACAATACTCACACGTTCAAACTTCAGAAGGTCGTACTGGTTTGTATACAGAGAGAGAGAGTCTAACTAGTCTATGGAGGCTGACCATGTGGTCCTCTGATTGGCTGATGGGCCATGGCCAGTCAGTATCTCAAATCCCAGATGTTTCAGGCCCATGATCATAATATTTTAATGACTCTGCTAGATTTTTCTTCTTAGTGAAATAATGGGGCATCATAGTGTGTTCATGCAACAAAGTTCATTATTTGAAATTTATTCAGATTATCAAAGCCCAAAATAAATCAAAATTACCTATGTTAAGTTGCATTGTCCTGTAATACAAGTTTGACCTAAAATTTACCGAGCTTCCACAAACTTCTGTTTGAAGTTTTCTCAAAACTAATCAGAGCTGAGATGTGCATATACTCTGACAGGGCAAGCTAATAACACATTTATCTCAAAGATTTGATCACTGCATGTACCCATTCAAGGTAAGGATTGGCACTGGACACTATGGCATACAAGTCAATGTTTCTGACTTGAAGCATTCCCATGTAAGTGATAGTGACATAGTGGGCCATTAGCTACTTGTACACGGATATTGTTTTGTCATCAGGTTAACTGACGATGCACCCTCGATCAATAAGAGCTCAGCCGGCGGTTTGACTCATCTCACTTTCTTCACTTTCTCCTCTGTTTTCAGATCCAGCATGCCTTGCTGTGGTACACGGGAGCTCTCAAGCAGCGATTTGATACTCGCATGAAAAGTTGGAAGATGATCAGGAAAGCCATCGGGGACAAAGTGAGTCAGTGAGAGTACACTGAAAAATAAAGGGTTTCACCGTAAGTTTGTGAATTCCAAATAAAATTTGCAGCTGGCGGTGGATTCCGTGTATATTGGAAAGTATGGTGTAAAATTCATTGACACACTATGGCGCTGTTGAGCCATGTTGAGGACTGCTTCAGTAATAGACCTTTTCACCCATGTGACTAAATGTAAACCATACCACCACATGTGGACCGCCTTGGCCACGGTGATCACATGTGTACCTATGGGCAACCACATGCAAGCACACGTGCGAACGCTGCATGCTTGACTAGTTTATCTTGAATAGGTAGATTACCATCACAGCGCTATGCATCATTACCATCACAACACATCATAGGCCCAGCACGATCGTGACATCACAGGAAAAAGGTCTATAGAGATGGGCTTGAGGTATTCCACATAGAATAGCACGGGTAGTTCTTGAAAGGGAAGAATTGTGTCGGATGCTCTTGTGACCAAATTCCCAGTGCTCCCTTTGAGTCCCAGATATTTGCTCACATTCAGACAAAATTGGCCGTATGTACTTCAGGCCGTGTGTATGTGGGCAGGGTTCATGTATGCAGTGTGTCCCACGCACAGGATTTCTTCTCGATAGTCCCATCTACTTTTCCTCCATGGAGTCTACAGTTGGGACAACTCTTTAGCTCACTGTTTGAGCACCTCAGAGTCCATGCGTTTTCTGGTGACTCACTGAGCTTTGCGTCCTTCCCACAGCTTCATGGCAAGAACCGTTTGATACGTGCCCTCCTGATTGACCGGGTTCAGATACAGCACGACCAGCGAATACTGCATCAAGTGAAGTATGTCACCTACTCCGACGTGGACCGAATGGTCCTCCACGACCTAACTACGCTGTCCATGAGCAGATACAGTGAGGTAGGCCTAAGAGTGTCACTCCGAGGGAGATAATGTGTTATTCCCATTATAAGCATGAGATAAAGTAAACTTATTACACTACTGTAACAACAACTTTAGGCCAAGCACACATTTTCAAATGCATTCACTTTATATGGGATAAGTACTCAGAGGCTGTCATAAAACCAACGAGTCTGTCAAGTTCAATTAAAACAATATCTATGTTTGACAAGACAAAGTCATCATGGAGGCTTTATGAGAATGTCTAGCATTGCTTAATATTCAGGAATAATAGGTCATGGCAATTAACAAAAAAGGTCACGTACATGCCTTGAGGACCAACCCCTTTTGCTTAGGATCAGACTTGGTATGACAGTAAGCATTGTTGTAAGTATAGCGTAATAGTCTATAGCATTACAGGTTTTTGTACTCGCTCTTGTGGTCTAGGTCCGTAAGGCTGCTCAGAATATCCTGTTTGAGAGCATAGATCACCTTACATACAGCCGCTATGACATCATTCCCAAAGTTCTAGAAAAGCTTCGGGAAGATGAAAGCATCTCCCACCACACCTTCAAGGTGAGTTCACATTTTGTATTCAGACTGCCCTCTGACAGAACTCCCTGCCTCTTTGGCAGTAATAATAGTAATAATAAGAGATATTTATAAATCACACAGATCCATCAATACTGGTGCTCAAGGCACTTCACGATTATTTTCCCTATACACTGGGCCCATGTTTCTAAAACCATCTGCTTGATGCCGTCATTTCAGGTGCAAATGGCTAATAAAAACCGAGTAACTGTCTGCCTGGGTGGGGATCCCCCACTACTCCTGGATGGAGAGAGTGAACGTGGAAGTAGAGTGACTTACCTAATGGTAGATTGATTGCCCATAGCTGGATTCGAAACCCAAAACTCTATGATTTGGAGTTAAAAGTCTGATCACAGGGCCACTTGGTTAAGAGGTACAGGGAAAAAGAAGTGTCAGAAAACAAGCAGTTGCTGAGGAGTGTCCGTTCAGCCTGTCCTTCTTTGTCCCTCCCGTTTCTTTTTTTTTTACCTGCTCCCTCTTTAGGGTGCTCTGTACATTCTTCAGGCCGGGGGGATGGGCACGCTAGCCTGCGTCCACGACTGGGAACTGATGCAGAAATGCTGGACGGCCCTGGTCAAGGCCGGTCACTCAGAGAAGCTGTCCATTATGAAAGTGATTGATGGGATAACGGCAAAGATACACAGGATCTATGATACGCTGGCCATCAGTATCCAGGTAAGCTGAACGCTAGTTGATAACGCTAGTAGAGAAGTCTTTAAAAGGAAGTGATAGAACTCTCTTTCCAGGAAGAAGATCTCTGGCAAAATAGGCCTTTGTGTTTGGCAAAGAGCTCCTTAACCACTTGCCTCTGGGGTTCCCAGTACCAGGTACCTCGGGTTTTTTATGCATAGCTGGGGTGCTCAAAATCGGACAAAGGAGCTGGGCCTTGTAGCGAAAGACTGTAGTCGGAACAAAAAACCGAGCTGCTAGGAATTGCCATCACTTTTCAGCTGATACTAGCAATGTAATCCGTCATTGTTTTAAAACAGTATACCAGTGTTTGCAGCATTTAGCACCCGCGGATTATCAGTGGGGACAAAAGTGCTCCGGCACTCCAGCAATGAGCGATACAGTACCGCTGCAGGCTAATCTGGCCGCATTTGAAAAGACACCACTCTCAGTCAGCAATGCACTTGGCCAATGTCGGGAACATAGGAAATTATGCAACACCGCACAATCTCTTTACTGGGCAGCAGGCCTGACTGCAATACTTGGGCGTCAATGGAGATTTCCTGTCAGATCAGAGTAGCCACTAGACAGTCATTCGTGTGGGTGTAAACATCCAGTAAAGGAAGTTGTGAATTTTTGAAGAATGTTGAAAATGGAAAATCTTGAAACCTCCAGGAACTCATCCCACAAATTCCACCCAGTAGGAAGTGGTTAAGCAAGGCAAAAGTCTGGAGAAGAACCACATAAACACATAATTATAAGTAAAAATTATAAAGTGCCTTCCATCTTTAAAAAAGGCCTTTAATCACTGTACATCAAAAGGAAGCTCATCATATCTAAGAAATTGAACAGTTCATACAAATTATAAAATTGTTAAATTGTTCAAAATAGTCATATTTAAGAAAAAAATAATCTAATTACAATTCAGTTGCTCATGGTAAAAAGTAGCCACTTAAAAGGACCAAAGTGTCCGTCAAAAGTTCTTTGATTTTTTCTGTTTGGTCTACATTGGGGGCACCATGTGGTTCCATCATTGAGCCACTTTCTAATATTTCAGAATTTTCAAGACCGTTCAGGAACAAAGCAGGCATGTGAATGTGTCTACATAAGGCCGCATTGATAGGGCAAACCTCACAAGGGTATCCAAAAGACTAGGGATCAACCAATGATGATCAGCTTGGACATTGGATCGGGCCGATGTTTGGCAATATCGACAAACCATCGGATCGGCAAAAGTTAACCTTCCTTGCCGATATGAGCACTGATGTTAACTTGAAGAAAGTTTTGGCAAACAAAAATCTCATATCTTTTACTTGAGCATGAAAACAAACTGTGGTTTTTTTTCATTTGGTGTTATAAATGAACAGTTACACCATGGTTAAACCCACGTAAAGTATCTCCGAAAATTACACCGATGTGATCCATGCGGCAACAACTCATTGCACGGACCGGGGCCCCAAGGAGCAGTACGCATGTACTGTTTTCATTGACAGCCATTAAAACAGCCAGGGAACTACACCATGTATGGCACCACGCACAAGTTGCTGTGTGACCGGTCTGAAGGTAGCCTACGATTTAGGCTTTATTCCAGGCACGCGTGGCTACCTGAACACACGACACGCACCTCTGCCTTTGGCATGCATGACGAAGAGACCAACACAATGGTGCAGCAGTGCCATGCGTGTCTTGACTAAAGGCTACCATGATTCAGCCCGAAGTGCTGTGTCTATGTACATGTGCTGTTTAGCACTGCGTGGGTTTGGACGATTGGTATCGTGGAGGCAGCGATTGATGTACACAATTTACACGATTTATTCTCTCAACAGTGACAGTGAAGGCAAAACCTAATCCTATTACCAGTAATGTAACAGACATTGTAAGGGAGTACACTGGTTTTGTGTTGTTAGTAGGCCTACATCCTGTTAAGGTTACGTTTTGTCAGTAAAAACATTGGATCAGATCGGATGTTGGCCAATGTTCCATTTAAACATCAGACGTTGCATCGGCACTTAAAACCTACATCAGTTGATCCCTACAAATGACCTCAGGTGCACTGCATTTTGGACATTCTCTGGCTCATTATTTACAAGCATACCCTCTGAAGGACACACCAGCTGAACCTACATTAATTGAAAGTGCAGTTTCTGTGGCTGAAGTTCCAGATTCCATGCACCTGTTCAGCCATGGGCCTGCACAATACCAATAGCTTTGTATCCTGAAGGTGATATGCACCTTGTCATTCCATTCCCACTGCAGGTGCCTCAAGGTTGCATAGACGTGGCTGGCCAGCTGCTCAGGTCTGGCAGCCCCTCAGCAGTAGTTTCAGCACCCACCTCCGAAGAAATGGAACAGGCCATTGTCAGGCTGAAGAACAAGAGTGAAAAGAACCTGAGGTGTGTTCGGGTTTCATGCTGCCTAAATCAGCTGCATTTGCCAGGTTTTTGATAAGAAGAATCTTAAGAGTATGATCATGGTCATGTGTACTGTATTCTCCTCCCAGCACCATATCAGAGATGGAGGGGGGGGGTGCATTCAATAGAGCATATCATTTCCACCTACCTTTCTGCTTTGAAAGTAAAGACGGATTAACTAATAGACCTGTTTCCTAGGATGTCACAGTCATGCTGGACTGCAATCACCGTGGCCAAGGCGGTCCACACGTGGTGGTGGTGGTGGTCACATTTAACACAATCGAGTCACATGGGTGAAAAAGGTGTATTCTGGCGCAGGTATTTCACTATTGAGGGCTACCTCTGGGCGTGCAGCATATACCTTCCAATCCTGCTGCTGGGTATCCTACCAACACAGTGTGATTGCACGTTCTAGTTGTGTGGAATATATCAGAGTATTAAGCTGGGCTTGGTCCACTTGGTACTGAAAGGATTAGTAGCTGTTTCAAATGCGCAAAGCATGACAATCAAACTGAGCCTTAACATTTATTTCTTGTAAAAATTAACCAGGATTTTGGCATCTGGTTTGGCCCAAATATCACACTTTGTGTGATAGTTCATTAACATTTCAGCAAAACAAAATCAATTTGAACTTATTGTGGAACATTATAACATTATTGGAATTATTCATTCTTAAGTCGGTTTTATTCTGTTGTTTTTTTCCTCCTCTAATTTACAGCATCTACACCAACATGGTCACGTCCTTAGCTGAGCTGGTTGAACAAGGAAACCTGTAAGAACAACGGAAGAATCTGTTTGATGATTGTAACCGAAAACAGTTTAAGGGTGATATGGTTACTGCGCAGTAGTTTAGTATTCTCTTGAGAGGAGACTAGGATGTTATTCTCTTGAGAAGAGACTACGATGTTGGCTAGACCACTAAACCAGTCCATTGAGTTCATTGTGCATCTCGTGATAAATTCGACCTGTAGATACCTATCTCCTTGTCAATCTTCTGTACAATTTATCACCTGCCTAATATTGAGAAAACCCCAGTGCTAGAGTGTCCAGAGTCCATCAACAAGTTAGATGGAGATTCATCTCTGTTGTAATAAACCTTTTCCTAATGTTTTCCTAATGATTTGTTTTTTAGATATCCAACAGTTACACCCAATTTCTAACTTTTGCCTGCAGAGTTTCCAGTGGCTGTGAGTCGCCCTGCTGTCAGGATCCAGTGAAAGTAATGCTTGGAAACATTTTTATTCCATCCTTTACAGACGCTGGAAATTTTCCCAGATGGCCACCGGGATGCTGAAACTTCTGGTGAGGCCGGATGCCCCTCCTCCAGTACCCATGGTCCGCTTGTTCACAAACTTCCTTGTTGATGATACGCTAGCAGTTCGCAAGGTGCGTAGGTAATGGACTTTGGTCAACCGGGGCACCCATTTCACGCTGCTGGTAACAACAGAGGGGCCTCTGAAGTAACTTCAGCCGTGTTTTAAAATTGTTGCCAGCAAAAGAGATGGGCATACCTCAGTGTTTAGAACTGTTCATTTTGTTGCTAATCTCAATTTGCCGTTTTGTTACAAATCAAAACAAAATCATGTATTGCCATGTAAGTATGTTGAAATTGTTGCAACAATGAACAAATATACTGGATGTCCAAGTAGAATGCCCTTTGAAATACTGAATTTGAATCGTGAAAGTGCATTATCGAGTTTATGCAAATTGAAAACTTGAGTGTTTCCCACGTAAGGCATTTTTATTTTATTTTTTCAGTTTTGATATGAAACCACCTTTTTCTGGCACAGATTTGTTACTGCGTTAAAGAAAAAGCTATAAAAAGCATCTAAGAGGAGGAATTTAAAAATGAGGCTGGAATTCTTACATCCTTAAATTTTTTTATTTTGGTACATTTGCTTATATCATTATGTTCTATACACATTCTTTTCCTCTATTTGTTTGACATACTAAAAATTATAAAACTTTTAAAAGAAAGGGGTTTAAGTTACTTGAGGTGAATATGGAAATTGACTTTGAACGATCATCATGCAGGTGGCAATTGCTGCCCTGGGGGCAATCCTGAAGGTGCTGAAGCGGCCCCACAAGACGGTGCCTCTTGACCCCTGTGCCGTCTCAGGCACTACCCCACCCCTGGGGATAGCCCCCGGGATCAGGCCAGACAACCAGTGGCACTTCTACGATTCATCCCGACTGCCCAAGACAGAGGCGGAGTGGGACGCTTGCGCCTTTGTGGAGAAGACTCATTGGGGTTACTACACATGGCCAAAGTAAGCATGCTTGCTAGGGTCATCTTGGTCGTTATTGCATCATCGTCTCACGCAGATCCAAATCGCAATCAGTGATCTGCGGTTGGTTCACTGACACCAGAACCTGCCTAATGGATGGAGCCAACTGGCGTTGGGATCACTGAGCAAGATCCACATCCAAGTGAAGCAAACAGACCGTGAATAGACCTTACTCACAAGGAGGCCTTTGTTGATCATGCTCCCTGAATCTTGCTTCTATCCAATCCGTCAAAGGGATGGTGCCTACTATCGTGGGTTCCATGCCTTACTTCCATTTGTTTTAATCAATTATATATCTTACATTATTCATCATCGTAAAGGAAATTGGGCTGTAATGAACTTTTCTTGTGGCTTTCATTTTTAGTCCTATGATTCCCCCCCCCCCCAAGGTTAACCTTGCTTTCAATTCAATATGTCCGGCTCGTGAATAAGGTAAAATATCATTACTCCTAGCCTTGTTCATTTGTCTTGTTTGGACAAGGAAGGAGACGTTTCGTTGAGATGGAATAAGTGACAAAATTTGGAGGGGGGATTATTGCAAAAATCCTCTCAGACTAGAAGTATTTCAACGATGAAGAGACATGAGGGTGGGAAAAACATTCAATTTGACGCAGGGAGTACACATGTTGACAGTGTCTGTCAAGGCAAATTGAATTGGTCCTGCTTGCTCAGCCTGTCCCATCATTAAATGCATATGAACAGGTGCATTCATGCAAGGTGCCCCCCCCCCCGGGACATTGTCCCCACGTAAAAATATCCCCTATCTAAACTGGGCAGATTGTGTTGATAACTAGCCTTTGTTGACGGACAAAGGAATGAAAAAAGTTACTGAAACTGATTCATGTATGTTGCTGCTGTGCCTCTAGCAAGTGTCATGGATTCCCATTGATTATGATTTCAGGAAACTTCATCCCCTCCTTTTCAGATCAACCAGTAGAGTAGCATTTCCTGAGTGCTGTTCAGCTTTTGTGAGATATGTGAATAACTTGTTGTTCCTTTGCCTGAAGGAACATGTTGCAATATGCTCCTTACAGCGAGCAACCCAAGCTGGACAGGTCAAGAGAAGAATTATCAGAGGTTAGTATGAAGAGAACTTAATTTGGTTTGGGCTTGATTTGATACAATACATAATAAAAAACAGTAGATTTCTTCATCTCACGAGTTAACCTGAACAGTCCTGAGTCCTCCAATTTCAATGTGATTTCACATTCATCCTAGTTTTCTGTTCAAAATCAAGCTTTCCAACTTTTCTAGGAAATACAAGTCAATGTTTTTTCTCATACTGTTAGGCATATTGGGCACATTGTAACTATTGATAGCAACTCTACCAGCATGAAGATTTGACACTTGTGGAAATGAATATGATTTTAGTTTTAAGAAATGTTTCTTTTGTACACTACTGCTTGTTTTATTAAGTGTGTTGTGGAAGAGTTTGTTTTTAGTAATATCATTGGAGGAAGTCTTGGTCATGTTCTAGTTTATTAGGCAATCACCTGGTTAAATAGACGTTTTTCTCTTGTAGAATGAGAAGATCATCTTTGACTGTTTCTCGAATGAAAACTTTGTGGAGAAATTAGTTGGGTACCTATCCTTGGAGGATCGGAAGGGCAGAGACAAATTCAGTGCAAAGAGATTCGTTCTGTTCAAGGTAATAGACTGAACTTGTTTCTCATCTACGTGTATGTCTTGTGGATTTCTCCCTGCATTTGTGTCATGAACTGTATCAGTGTTACCCAGTTTATATCTGATCATGGTTTACCTTATCCAATCCTTTCACAGTTATATGCAGAAACACTGTCAATTTCCTAGTCAGTCATATTTGTTTAGACCTTATGAGTTTAATGAACCTATGACGGAAAACATAAAACTATTGTAAAATCTTTGCATAGATACAAAAAGTGAGCACAAATCCTTGATATTTTTATGGTCTTCCATTGGTTGTAGGGACTATTCCGTAATTTCGGCGACACCTTTCTACCCGTCTTCAAGCCCCACCTGAGCAGGCTGGCCCAGAGCAAGCAGGAGAGTGACCAGCGATGTCTGGCGGAGATTGTGGCTGGGCTGGGCCGGGGCAGTAAGCACTGGGGCTTCACCAAGGTGGGTTGCGGCAACGGTGTGGAAGGTGAAAGCAATCGACTGATGGGAGGAAACGTGATGTGCTAGGTTGAAATCAATCGGGTGGGGCAGTGGTGGCTTCAGAGCTGTATGAAGTGTGCTTGATGATAAGAGTTGAGCATTGCAGGAAACAAACCGTGTAGGGAAACACACTAAGTGTGCTAGTTTTAAAGACGAAGAAAGACATTGACTGAGGCGGGATTTGAACCCGGAACCTCCTGTACCGGCACTTCACCAACTGAGCTATCCAGCCCTGTGTTGGTGGTTCCTCCACTTCGTCAATATCTTTGTTTGGGGGGGGGCCAGAAGCCATGAAACTTGAAACACTCTGTTTCGCTTTCAAAAGTATCTGGTTTAGAGAAGAAGTTAGCCACTGAGATGAAATATGTGGATGTATGTAAAGTGTATATTTGGAAGTAGAAATGCAAAGCCTGGGTGTTAGAGGGACCTCAGACACATTGTCACGTTGCGGTCAGCCCGTGGTGTGTTTTTCTTGAATGTAGTAGCCGTCCATATGTTCATATTCATTCATAAAGTAGTTGCACAAGCTTTCACTGAACGGCTACTTTCTACTTCACACTACTGAGAAGTGACTTTTCCAGGCTTGAAGTGTACTCAGTTTGTACAAATCAGCAGCATGGAAGCTAGCAGTGACACCAGAAATTTGCATCCTGGTTTACTTGTGTGTCAAGCAAGAGTCCTCTTTCATTCTGTATGTGCAAGAGCAGGTGTGTGCATAGGATGTGTCCTCTAATCTCATCAACTTGTCCTGCATGGAAAAACTACCAAATTTGATGTCAAGTATTTCGTATTATAGAAATGATCTTTGTCAGATTGGTCAATGTAATGATGCTATCATCTTATTACAGACATCCCAACTCTGGGAGTTCCTAGTGCCCATCTTGAGGACTGCCCTCTCTCAGGTTACTGTAGAAACCCGTAACGATTGGGGTACTTCCATCTCAACCATGTGTGAGAGCAGAGACCCGCGCAAGCTACACTGGCTCCTGGAGACCATGATGGAATTCCCCACATTTGTGGAAAGTGGCTCCTTCCTGGAGGCTACGTAGGCATCAAGTTTTTATTTCATCTCGTTTTCACTGTTATTTTCAATTTTTTGTCAAATTCTTAATGCCTCCGATTCCTTTTACGAGCTGTTTTCTCTGCAGCAGACATTGACAGCCTCAGTAGTTGTATTGTGCATTATTAAACTTGCCTATCATGATTCTCATCGCGAAATACACAGCTAAGTTTGTTATTGGTTTTTTTTTTTTCAGCAAAACAGCTGATACATGAAGTAAATTTTGGAACAAAAAGTAAAAACCCTGTCGTTGTATACTCGGCAGAAATGCTTCTGTACTGAAAACAGAAATAAACCAGCCCACACCTTTTTCACAATATGTAGCAGTGTGGTCCTGACAGTGAGAAATAAACATGGTGTCCCAATAAGCGCCGTCATGCAGTTTGTGAACCTCTGTGAAAGAATATGCTTACACTGGTAATTTCCGCACAATATTGTGAATAATCTAGAATAGCGTGAATGCATGATTTGATTTCACTTATTTCGTGTTTTCTTGAAACCAAACTCTAGTTTTTTGGCCAGTCTGTAAAGTGGTTTTTGTGCGCCAGCTTATTTATGTTACTACAGACGTCTCTGCGCTGGGATTCTTATTATTTTGACCACGGTATATTTGGCTCCATTCAGCTGGTTGTGGATCCTACAGGGCAGTCTGGCCCAGCAAGAATGGAGAATACCTGAACTCTTACAGCAACTGCTGGACCATCTGGAAAGAAACCTGGCACACAGCTACAAGAACGTTCGAAATCAAATCGGCAGGTATGCTTGACAGGAGCAGTGTTATGACGGTCCATGATGGGGGTATGGGAAAATATCGCCAGAGGTAGAAATCATGAAACTGTGACTGCCTGAATGTTGTTTCTGGACCCGATTGCGGATAATTTTGTTCATGAATGAATGTTGCGGATGGGCTGGTCTTGTGGGATTAGACATGTGACTTTATGAGTAGACAAAATTGACTGCAGGTTGGGTGCTGTCGTTCCTGTATTCAGGGTTGGGTGCTGTCGTTCCTGTATTCAGGGTTGGGTGCTGTCGTTCCTGTATTCAGGGTTGGGTGCTGTCGTTCCTGTATTCAGGGTTGGGTGCTGTCGTTCCTGTATTCAGGGTTGGGTGCTGTCGCTCCTGTATTCAGAAATCCACTGACATGTCATCTCCTTTGTGTGACCTGTCTTCCAGTGCCTTGGGCATCGTATTCTTGTATGACTGTGCTCTGCCTAATGGCTGCCCCTCCTCGCCCCACTCGGAACCCTTCTTAGACCGCGTCCTTCCACGGCTTGCACCCCTGCACGACCTGGACGCTTCCCAGTCTGCGGAGGGCACCAACCACACACTGGCCCCTCTGAACGGCAAAGATACGCAAGAGAGGGAGGATGCCATCAAAACTTGTAAAACAGGTGCCCTTGTGATTTCTATTCTCCTTTCTAAATAGATGGTATCGAATCAGATGGACAGGTGACACATGGCGTAGTTTTATAGCGATAGTACGTATCATGTGATGTGATGCACATTTGTAATGTTTTTATTTATTTGTTACATTATTCCTCATCCAGATTCTTCTGTTGTTTTTCTTCTTTTGAGGCCAGCGCATTATCACGCCATAATCGTCAACCTTACCGAGTACTGTACCTGAACTAACAAGTTATGGATCCTGTTTCGGCTCCCAAGTTTGGGCCAAAATGTAATAGTCAGAAGGTTCCTTTTCACTTTTCTGTTGCAGTAATGAAATGTACCCTTAATCGGCTTTTTGCCCCAACGTCACCAGGGGTCTACAAGTTTCTTCCCTTGGTGAGTATGAAGTATTCTCTCGTTTGTCAGAGAAGCTATTTCACAGTGTGACTCATCAATTCACATGAAGTATGTAACAGCCATCAACACTGTTTAACCCGTTTTTCATTATCTGTGATACCTGTTACAAGCCAAGCCACTTTTAACAAACCTCATATCTATTGACTTTTACAGGTAGCACCTCTTGAGAGTTATGAAAGTGATGAAGAGCTGAGTCAGCTGAGCCGATGGTGGATGGACGCCATGGCCAAGACCCTGCTTACACCAGACGTTGTGCCAGTGGTGCTCCATGCACTGCAACAGGTTAGATCTCTTCACTGGGTAGAGAACCTCGTGAGGGTCATGGGGTTTGAAGGGGTTGAGGTTTTGCATGTGGTGAGCTGTTGAAGTTCTTGGCTCAGCCAGAGGGTGTGCTACACTGTTCTCTGTTACGGGAGTAAGTTACACCCGGAGGGTTTTTTGGGGGTGTTAGCTTGCAGTCAGTGATTCACGATTGCACCTTATGAGACTCATATGGTGTTCGGTGGTGATGTTCCGTGGTCATGACTACTTGTTCATTGCCTGGTGTTTCAAGTGTGATTGTTATACCTCTTTTTCGAATACTGTGTTTTCATTGGTCCAGAACGATCACATGACCAGGTGACAAATATGCATGTCACCCTCGCCATTGGACATCGCATTGTGATATCATAGACTAGTCCCCATTGCAAACCAAACCATAGTGTGGGGTCCACTAGCCAGAGTATTCATTGGTACCTCTGCTAATTTCATCACGTGGTCCACATCACAACGGTCAATAATTATTAAATAGGGGTTCATTAACAGAAGAAATATCTCAATCTTCCTTTCTGTTGGATTTGAAATTTTTTTAAAAACACCAGATAGCCCAGGGAACCTCGTGGAGGGCGAAGGTGAGCCTCCTAGCCTACCTCCAAGTCATGGTCTACTACAACCTGTTTACTGTCAGCAGCCAGTCACAGTGTGTAGCCACGATACATCAGCTAGTGCTGGATCTCTTGAAAGATGACCGACTGGAGGTGAGTGACAACTTTGGATGGCGCCCTCTGCTGTTTAAGAAGAGGTTCCCTAGTTTAAGTAAAAAGGGGAGCTCATCTTTGTAAAAAAAAAAAAAATTGGGATAATGGATAGAGAATCTTTACCATGATTGGATCGTTTTACGTGCAGAATTTCAAGTTCAGGGTGCATTCCTCTGTTGTTCCTGGCATACCATCAAAGTAAATATTACTTGTAAATTTGTCCCTGCAGAGGCCACAGTTGATTTGTGGGAAACATTTGGAGGCTCAATTTTCATTTTCAGATTTCATTTTGAGCTGCACTGCTACTGCTCTATACCACTGATATTACTGTGCAGAGGAGCAATCGTTTCACTTGCATGACATCTAACCTTACAAGAAACTTATTACAAATGAATTAGCCTTTAAACGTTTCCATAACCAGGCTGAAAATTTAGAGAGGCTTTAATTTGGAATGGTGTAGTTCCCTGTCTCGTTCTCCAACCATAGTGGGATTTCTTTCCTTATTCCATTAGGTAAGAGAGATGGCAGGTACCACGCTGAGTGGGCTGCTTCACTGTGGTGTCTTCTCCATTGAGCCCAAGCTGCAGAGTCACTTTGAGAACCTGTGCAAGACCAGACTGCCCTCCAAGAAGGTGCGGCTACAGAGTGACCTCAACAACGATGGTGAGTCAGATCGAAGTTTCTGAGCTTCACCCTGCTCCCCAAGTCTTTCACGAGGATCCTGAAATACGAAGCCTCCTGAATCCAGTACAAACTAACGTTTAAATCAAAACTCTTTCGATGTCTTAAATAGTTACTACAGGGAAGGGGGCTCAACAAAATCCAAACTTGCCATTACTGGGTCCTTTTGATTTCAGCAAGGTCCTGACCGGGTAGGACTTAAATTGAAATTAAACCCTTTTGTAAATTCCTGACTATCAGGCTCATCTTTGTATCTGACAAGTACTGCACGTAGATTAGCGTCAGTTGGCAGGTTGATTAACAGTTTGAATTCCTCCGATGTGTGTGTGTAGAAGAAGCACAGTTCTAGCAGTCAAGGTACGGAATCTAAAACCTTTGACTTGAAACTCAAGATGCCACGTGTTGGACTTGTCCACGGTTTGCTCTTCATTTTCCTTACAGAGTTTTCAGCGTCAGTTGTCCAACGTCATGCGGGAATCATTGGCCTGAGTGCCTGCGTCCAGGCCTACCCGTACGATGTACCAGACTGGATGCCCGGTGTTCTCATGGACCTCACCGATCACCTACATGACCCCCAGCCCATAGAGGTCAGTCACCGTCTTGATCAAGTTTTAATGTGGCCACATAGAGGTCGGGTATTGCTGGGTTCAATTAGTCTTTTCAGTTGAACTTTTCAGTTGAGTCTTGCTTCTCTGAAAGAAACTCATCACAGCTCCAAATTAAGGACAAATCCTAAGAAATAACACTGGAATACTTTTTGCTTTTTTATTCCGGGTAGGCTGCAATCACCTGCATCTTTGTTACTCTATCATGTTTTATGTATATGTATATATAGCATTGTAATTTCTTATGGACAAATGCCCAGTCATAAACGTGCGTCTGTCTAGAAGATGTCCAAGCAAAATTCTTCCCTTAACTACCAAACGAAACAGATTTCCAACTTTCTGAACCCCGGGATAGGCCGAACACCCCAGAAATAAAACCCTTGCAACTGCTTTGGTATGATAGAAAATTTGCTCTGCAGATATTCCTATCCGACACCTCCCCCCCGGCAATTGAGCAGGCAGTATTGTACTAACTCACTCTGGGGCACCATAGTTTTCGTATAGCTTGTAGTCAATAAACTAAACCGCCAATTAGTATTATACTTTGTATCTGGGAAATTGTCAGGTGGATGGTGCACCACTTATAAATAAATCTCGTGGATACCTTCATTTCTTTTATCTTATTTTACAAATTTTTAATGAACAATGCAATGCAGTGACTGCAAATGCCTGAAACAAACCATGCAGCTCACCTTTTACAGCACTTCCCACTTTACTACCTTCCATGTTTTATCCCCATTATCGCAGATGACTGTGCGTAAGACCCTGTCCGACTTTAAGAGGACCCACCATGACAACTGGCACGAGCATAAACAGCAGTTTACAGATGATCAGCTGGTTGTACTAACTAATCTACTCGTGTCACCATGTTACTATGCTTAGAGGGATAAACCTGGTTATAGATAGATTATTGTACATTAACTCGGGTTAATCAATCTGTAGTGATCGATTGGCTTGTTCTATGCCTGGAGGTTAAACCTAGTTAAAGATAGATTATGATACAGTAAGCCTAACAGTCTTCAATCCTCCAATTCCAGTTTGATTTTACATTCACCCTATGGGGTTAGGGGTAATTAGGATTTATCAGTTCACTGTGAGTTATCAATTGTCCTGTTACTATGCCTGGAGATTAAACCTTGATAAAACTGAGATTATGGTACTTTAATTAGGATTAATCAAACCGCAGTTAGCAATTGCCCCTGTTTCTGTGCAGAACAAGAGACAATATTCTTCTAGATATTTTAGTGAAAAGCCATCGTGGAAAGGCATTTGTTTGTTTTTCCAACGCTGTTAGTGGGTTCCTATGGTGCATCCAAATGCTTTCTGTTACATGGTACAATGTTATATTTTAGAAAACAAATTCTACAGACAAAATTATAAGGATTTTTTATGGGGTTGTTTATTTGAGACACATTCAAACGTAGCTCACCCACCAATACATTTCTATCCTGGTGAAAAAAATACAAGTGAATATGTTTTATTGGGATTTCCAGTTGATTTCAACATGAGGAAGAAGAAAAAACGTTCATTTATCCTTGTCACTGAATGAACTTTTAAGTTTACCGATTGCAGGGTTTTATATTTAATTGATTTGACAGGGTCGGCCAATGTGTGAATTGATTCTGAACAGCATGGCTTCCATGATTGCTTGAAATGTCCCAGGAACTTTGTTTCCTGAGAATATTTTATCGGTACATGTGTTTATAGTGCAAGCACACTAAGCAGCATAGTGAACAGTTTTCTTTGTCCAGCAGTGACTTCAAATCGGGCTGAGACCATTCAGCATTCACAACATAAGCTTTACAGGAACGTGCATGAACCTTTGGGCTTTGCACACGGGCAGTGTATGGGAGGTACCCCTGGTGTTGAGGGTAGGCCAAGCTTCTTTCGTGGTCCTGCTGAATTCCTTGTTGCTAACCTGAATAATATATGCAATGCTGTCTCTGCCCCCGAAACATTTGTTTACACAACAGGCTGGGGAGACCCAACTTGAATAAAGGGTAAAATCATAGCTTTGGGGGATTTTTTTCCAAAGGGAAATAAAGCCTGGCCGAAGAGTAGTCTCCTTTTCAAGATTTTCCCGTAGGAAGGTACATGATGTATCCCCAGAATGCTGTGTAATAAAAAGTAAGGCCCCCACTAATGGCTGTAAGCATTGCGCTTTTGTAGGAAGCCACTGGTCTGCTAAAGTCACTTGGTACAAAACCCAATGCTATCCACCAGAGCTCTGCTTTCCGCCATTGGAGGGGGCCATCAGGAATGTTTAGTGAAACATCACGGGATTCGTCTATACAAGTGGAGTGTGGACCATGAATGGAAGCGATAGGCAGTCTGGCGTCAAATGCTTTTCTCTCCACTTGCCTTACTCGGCTGTTACCTGCAGATGTCGACCTGTTTGGTTCAGAAAACCAGGCTGTTATTAAATGGAAATTATAAATTAACATAATAAGGCCACTCCCGATTTCCCTCGAGAAACTAGGCTGTAGTTGTTCAAGTTCTCCAAATTGCTGAACCAGTTGCACTTATAAATAGAACAGAGATTAGGAATTTTATGTAGTTTAAAATGATTCACTAAAATTGACAAGTATAGTTTTACTGATCATAAACACAATTTCCATGAGCTCACAGAATGCATTTATTATGCAGGGTGGTGTAAAGTAATGGTTGCTGCCCTAGTTGAAGAATCTGTCTCAGTAATCTTGCACTGCGAGATGTTGGATTTATGAAGTGGTTTCGGGCTGATTTCAGAACAAAAAAAAAAGTATGCTTCTCGGGGCATCTTGCAAAGTTCACTGTGATCTGTTCACAGTTTTGTTTTTTTTAGAACTTGAGTTGATTTCTTTCGATTCAGTTGCTAATATTAAGGGTTTTCCCTGGTCTTTCCTGTAAAAATTCCATTTATGGTGTTTGATGGGATAGTTATACTTTAATAGAACACATTAAAGCCACATAGCAAGAAATGAACGAATTTGTCTCTTGACAGCCACCGACCCAAGACCTACCTCATACGCACCCCGGGCTCGTCGCCCGTTGAGACCAGCCGGTTCCAGGCTGAGTCTTGTTTCTGTACCCAACTTTATTCAGTTTGACCACGCCCGATTAGGAGCAGTGACAATTACAGCTTTCAATCATGCTTGGAATACTGACATCCAGTAGAACCGAATAGCCCCCTCCCTGTAGGAACTATTTAAGACTCCTATTAAGAGCATGAATTTATTTTATTCACAACTACCCCTGCACTCTTTACGAAGTGGACAGTGTTATGTTGAAAAGAGAAGGGCCTGTAATAGGCCTTACAGCTGGTGGTTTGGATATTTCCTGTGTGTAATAAACCACTGTTGAGATTACAACAGAAATTTAGTAGTCTAGCGTACATGGAAGGGCTTATTTGTTTGAATTTCTGGGTATATATGTAGGTTGAATGGTGCAATCATTGATTCTATCTGCCAAGTTACCCGTTCATCTGCTTTACATAGTTAAGAGGAAATTCTAAGTAGGCCTGTTGAACAGAGTGGAGGAGTGGGACGGGCATCTCTAATCCGTTGCATTCTGTTCCAGAGATTCGGGGGCAAAATTGGAACGATGGGGGAATTATAAAATGCAAAATCTTCAGTGGCGCAACTACGGGTGGCGCGTGCCCCCCCCCCCAGCAAAGACCGTGCCCCCAGCCCCCCCCTTCCCTTTGAAAACTGTGAATAGTCTCCGTTGAGTTTACATGTATTTAGCTGCGCAGCTGCAGCCTATTTTCTTGTGGTGGCCCTTAAAAAGTGTGTGCACCCCGGGTGTCCCCGGACTTTTATCCCAAGTTACGCCACTGAAAATCGGGACGGTGAAAGTAGTCCATGAAATCGAAAATATCCCCTACTATACTCTCACTAGTGACTTCATTGGTGGATTTGTAAGGTAACCTACAACGGGGAACAAAACACTGTCTACACGCCTGGCAGCGGATCTTAAGTTTCTGGCGATGTTCAACACTGTTGGTGTCAGTTTATTATTTATCTTTTTAATTCTGAAAAAAATGACGAATTTTAAAAATAAATTACCAGAGGTGCACATTGAACAAATGGACAAACAATGACAAAGATAATTTGCTCTTGCTCGTTGCATCCATACTGCGTTTATATTTTCCAGAACAGGCAAATGGTTCAAGGGAGCAAACCATGTACCTGCGTCAATATACAGAGTAGTGTCCAACAGTTCAGCCCAGGGCAATATGATGATTACTTAGTCCACTGTAGTTTAGGGGGAATTCCAGATTCCTACCCCATTAACACTGTTACGGAAACATGCATGCCCCAAGTAATCAACCGTGGCCTTTTTTACTAGGCCTGATCTGATGTACTGGACCGCTGTATATATTGACTACTTTTCCTATATGGGCGGCGAAAGTCCACAGAAATGTCACCTTTGGTTTGTGTCACCCATTTACCAGTCACTGGTTCCAGCGGCGTACACAGCTTCGTGCACAATCAACATGATGTTAGGGGGAGAAATCAAAAGCCTTACGGTCCGGACATCCTTGCTTTTATTCGCTGGTGTTGCTTCTTAGGGTTTTAGTGCTAATATTTGACAAATATTTTGATTTCTTTCTTTCCTACCAATGAAGTATATATGCTTTGTAAAAGATGATAATAATAGTAAAAATTTAAAAAGTTGCCCCCCCCCCACGCTGGATACGCAACTGACTGGCTCGCGGGAAAAAACGCGACTGTCACAGAGAAAGAGCAGACGCTAGTGGGAACATTGAAGGTAATTTTGCACGATGATTGAGATTACGTGTCAAAAAGTTCTGTTACGGGGGTGAGAGATATATAGCAAGACACTCGGTGCACGAGCACTGATAACAGAGGAGTGACATTTCAAACACAAGATTTCTGACGACCTGGTGACCTCACTTTCCAATAGTTCATATTTTATTATAGTCTGGTTTATGAGACAAAATTTGACAGTTCTGTGCACAGTAATGATTGTCTGGTCATTACTGGAGTTATTATAATTTAATTGATTGATTCATATACACCTATTCAAATTATCAACGTCAATTTGATATCAGTTCATGCAATTTGTACAGAAGAAACTGTCGCCAAAGCTTCTCGCTTTTGGTTTTTTGAAGCCTGCATAGATAAAGGAAAGATTTCTTATGACAGCAAGCACCATGGGCGTAAATCCCGGGGACGGGTTACAGTCCCCCTCCACTTTTTGAGGTTCGGGGATGGGCTACTGAATCACCCCCACACCTTTTTTGTGGCGAGCAAAAAAATTAAAGTGGATTGTGAATAGCTTTTCAGACTTCCAAAAAGGGAAAACAGTTTTTAAAAAAACTATAAAATAATATGCCCATCTGAATACATATTACAGATGTACATCAATATCATGAACATCGACCTCTATATAGAGTCATATGGTGTCAGCCCCACCCCACCCGCCACTTTCCAACACGGATTTACGCCACTGGCAAGCACAACTACTACATCATTCGTTTTTTACTGCGAGACGCCTAAGAAACCTTAGATAAGGTGTGAGTGCGGGTAGCAATAGCAGTCCAATGTTGCTTGCTAAGTCACCATTTTGCACACTGTGATCTGACACTGTAACCAATGTGGATGTAATCAATGCATATAGGTTTTTATTGTTGATGATGATGATGTTGTTATTTACTTAAATAAAACCCACTTTTTCATGTGCACATCTTGTGTCGACACCATTTCTAATGGTCTGTCAAAATACATACAGTATTTTGGAAGAGTCTTCGCGTACCCTATTCAAAACTATTAACATTATATTACAGTTGCAATTGGACACGACGGCGAAATTTTGCTTCGAATATAAAAATGAGAAGTTCTTATGCTACGTTCAGTTTTGCATGTAGTCACTAGCTGCTCCTTAGGTACAAAATTCACCTTTCTTGCACAGTCTAGGCCTAATAGTCAAAATTGGCAATAAAGCAACGGCTTTAAATTATGTATCCCTACATCTTGCCAGATTTTGCTAAATTCAAATTACTTAAGTAAGTCGGACATAGACCCCAAATGGAAGATTGTATACTGTTTTACAGAGGTTCATACTTATTAAATTCTTACAGTTTATTTTCCATTATGCATCAATAAAACGGTATTGCACTTACAATTCAACCAATAACTGTTCGATGATGGAGAAAAACAAGTATGTACATACATGTACATTAGAAATAAATCTATATACAAGGGACAGTTCACCCCTACAATACATAAATAGCATCAAGAAGAAATGTCAGTGAAATATATCACATGTCACACTAAATCAACAGAATACTGGACACAAATTTGATTTTGAATTTTACAATTAACTAGCATTCCCACTGCAAACATGTTAAGTTGCAAATGGCATTTATATTCTTTATTTCCCCGTCTTTAGTCGATCTGTGAATATATTTATATAACAGCTGTTGCCTACTTGTTGGAATGATCTTGAATGTTAGTTACATCTGAAATTACCGAACAGACACAATTTTGCCCAATATACAAACACTTGTTTAAATTTAAAAAAAAAGCTTGCAAAAGCTTGGCCTTAAAAAAATTAACAGTCTTTACATCACTGACCTCACCGTCAAGAAAAAATGTTTTGCAATTTAACACAGTAAGGGATATTTGTTTCGGTTTTTATTTCAATAAATCACAATTTTCAATCGAATGACGGGTGTAATTTCGAGTCCAAGCCCGGTTCAAAGCTCAGTTTCAATGATTCTCCAGGTATTTCCGAGGTTATTACACACACTGTATGCACGAATGCACTGATGTTCCCAGGAAAGCATCCGTCGCATCAAGTGCATTTTCACTTGGGTTCAGCACAGCCCAGCGGGCAAGCTAACAGCGGACACCATGCATCACTGGCCAAAGAGAGACCATTGACCGTACACTACGGACCCCGAATATGGGCAATCACACTCACCGCCCTTGCTCCTTGGGGATTTTTTCCCCAACCATCAAGGGGGCCATTTCATCGAGGCAGCTCTGTTTTATTGACCACATAGGTTGTTTACCCAGCATTCGAGCGAAAACAATCGAAATTTGATTGAGTTTAGACGGCCGGTGTAGTAAATTCAATATTTCGGCTGACCAAGATTGCTCAGATGCCTGCAAGAAAGATGATATTCCTACACAGCTCTCTACTAAGGGAAGCAAACTCCTGATTTAACAAGGAATTTTAAAGCTCAAAGGATGTACACCATCAGTCACTTTCTGATTCTGCTCAGGGCGTTGTGATAATTTCCGTGTGTGTTGACAAAGATAGCGCGGAGACATGATGTAAACGGTGTCCCTTTGATGCTGGATTATAAAGTATTCGAAGTTTGCATAATATTTCATCAATCAACTGTTGATTATAATTTTTAACAAATCAATACTCTGACAGAAGTTAATGGCTAAACTGTTTCACAGTGCTGGACTGAATAATGGCCTCCATAAAATATGCATGCACAAATCACAAACGAATCATAATAAAGATGCCATCGTGAGCGAAAACTCTGCGTTCACACAGTATGCAAAACATAGCTGCGACAATAGCTGCGGCTCTCTGGCCAAATCTATGAGTCACCGACGTGTCATAGCAACAGTGACTGGAGAATGAGTTCACATGAATCGATTTCCACTGTAAATGACACGTCGACGAGGCGTGGATCGACTCTGAAGCAAGCCGTAAAGGGGTACTTAGCGCGGCGGATTGCGCCTTGAATACGCAGGACAGCTGTGTCTATAAGTGGAACAAAATATACTCGAGTCGGTAAAGCAGCGTAGTGTACGTGAGATTCATGCATAATACCAAGAGTCCATTTCCGTGACAGGACCGTGTAATTTGACCTGACCTAGCTACGCTGTTTTCTCAGAAATAAAACATTAAATAAGTTTCGATTCATGTTGTGTCTTGATGGAAAATCCTACTTTTAACAGGCCTAATAAATTTAAGCTAGCCTTAAAGTAAATCAAGTCCTGAATTTATTGCTCTTTTCACCGGTGTAGGCCCTATATAATTATTATGCAATTAAGGCTAATGCAAAGTAAACTCTCCAGAATGGACTTCATTTTTATTTTCGTTAAAGGGCAAGTAATCCTTTCAGACAACAGTCCAAAATTCAATTTTGACGGGTATGGGCATGTGCTGAGGAAGTCACAGCATTCTAACTCTTGGTATTTTTACGTCAGGCATATCTGTTGCTCATACGACAAAGCGAAAAGCCAGGCACCTTTCTCACTATTTCGGTTGTACATGTACAGTAAAATGTATAGGCCTATAATTCAACACAAACCCCTTGCACCAAGGAATACGCAATTTATGCTTGATTTCCATGTCGACGTGGTAACCCACGTCATTCATTTTTGTAAATGAGTCGGGTTTAGGCTCCGAACACTACTCTTCTTGTCTCCTCGATGGTGGATTCTCGTGAGAATTGAATTCGACGCTAACCCCTAATGCCCCCTCCCAGATCACTTTGCTGACTAGACAATTTAGACTACCGTTGAAAAAGTGTTCGAAACTGGATCCGGGTTTTTGATTTACAGAAAGGATTTGACATTACTACATGTCTGGTCGGAGTGTCGGCTGCCCTGCGTATAAATTGCAGGCTGCCAAGGAGACAACTGCATCAAAATCAACACATGGCTTCTTCATTAGTCTCATTGATAGTCCACGTACGATGGTTCCTACCTCATGATACATGCATACGACGTTATCAGTTCGCTACAGTGTAATGTTAAGGCTCCGGCGAATCACCATGTAATATTAATGGGACGCCATATACGGACGTGCTTGATCGTAGTTCATGGTACGGTCGTTTTGTCGCACGTGCGCCGTGCGACTGACTCCACTCATAAATAAGAGATGCTCCGAAAATTTTAACATCGTTTCACTTTGAACACTTACCGGTACGATGCAACAGAAATCATTCCGAAGTATTAAAATAGTTCATGCAAAATACAAGTCGTGTGTCTTTAGTTAAAACAGTCACAGACTAATGCTTAAATCAACAACACGTTGAAATGACAGTTTATATCAAAATGAAACGCTGTCCAAGAAACTCTAGTATTTTGAGAGGGGAAAATCTGAGTACTGAATTCATGGCTGCTGAAGTTTTGCACGACACACAATTTCCAGTTCCATTTCTGATATGTTATATGATAAGGCGTCGGCTTTGACATTAGAATGATGAAAACACGGAGAATACATTTAAGCTTTGCGTTTGTTTTGCTCTATGAAGTGGAATGATCAATGAGCACAATTACAATTAAAGAAAAACACACAAACGAAATGTTGACACTGGAAACTAACCAACCTCTCAAGCACGATTGTGGATTACATTAATTACCCTATAATACGAACTACCAAAAGCAAACGTTAGTGTAAGAATGTATACATCTACAATGTCAGACAGACAGGCCTAATTGTACAAGTATATGCTGCCAAGAAGAGCCATGTGTGTCTCTCTAGGTGCTTATTAAGTTTTATTTATTTGATAACCACTCTTTCATCCGCAATTATGCAGACATGATTTGTATCCGTCCCAGACAACTCGTTTTTCTCCGTATCCTCATTCCAAGTCAATTTTTCTTCAGGCTGAAACGGAGGGCACGGCAATCTGGTTTGATGAAGGCTAAATCACATGGCGGGTCAAAATCAAAGGGATTCGTTCGATATAGTTTCTGCTCTTGAAACCGCAAAAGGCTTGCTCACATCAAAGCCAATAGGGCACAAAGCTGTCGTTTCCAGCGAGACTGATTGACGAGAGCTTTGAGTAACAGTTCAATAGTTTTTCCAGTCTTAAGTGAATTGGCTTAATGCACAGCTTTATCATCCTACCAAGAACGAAACCGCATCCACTATTAAACCCAGTCGGCCGCATCCTTGGCTTTTCCCGCGTTACCGCTTGCTTCGTTACTTGATATCTCAGTGATGGTTTGAGTCCGGGACCCATCTCCGGAGGTGCGCACAGACACAGGCTTGGGCGTAACCGTCACCTCTTCGATTGGCGTTGTGTCACCGTTGGAGTCGCTCTGTGTGGTCAACGAAACTTGAATCTGGACTTGCGGGGGCGGGACAGCTGGAAGCTTCTTGGTTTTGGTGCCTGGGGTTGTCTTGCCCCTGGGTGAAGACGTGGGCGGATCGCCGCTGTCGATGTGCCGCTTGTAGGGGATGTTGGATTCCTTGTTGCAGTCCTCTGCACTGTCCGCGGCAGACTGGTCACCACTGTCCGGGTCGTCAGTCTTATGGATGTGCACCACCCCTCCCTCGTGGCGGTACTCCAGTCCTGCTCGGGTCCAACGCCTCTCCATGGCTTGTGGGGGAGGGGCGAAGGCAGAGGGTCGCCGCTGTTCCAGCAGGAGTCCGGGGGTACTGAGGGAGCGCGAGGTCCGGGTGGGAGGCTCCTGGATGTCAGGCGGTGCCGTGGCCGCGGTCTGCTCACTGATGGCTAGCAGCTGCTGCTCTCGTTTCTCCGCCTGCTTCTTGGCGATGCGCATACGGTCCCTGCGATTGATCAGAGAGAATGAGAGGAGGAACGGATGAGTCATTGCAGACACACTCACTGCACATCAGCAACATGATGAAACCTTCCCGTGCCGAGACAATCAACCGAATGAATCATGACATCACCTCTCTCTTTGTTTCCACGCGGACAGCTTGCAGTCACCATTCCACACCTGCTCACTAGCACGCACCAAAATGTCAGCATTTCCCTGGCTTCGTATATCAGCGCATTATGAACGCCGCGGACGCATGGCGGCACACCATATGGGTGCTATCCAGACTGCGCGCCCCATTTGCCCCTCTGTAGCGTCAAGTGCAATAACACGTTACTCATAAACTCTATTCCGTCCCAACGCACCATGAATATTGATAAGCACACTAAATATTGCCTCCTAAAACAAAATAGCCAGAAGGGTTGGAATGATCCACACTATATTGCTGTCTAGACCCTTTAGTCTCTTCCTGAGAAGCCTGTCTCGTCATGCATCCTCTCTCAATAATTTTTTCAACGGATTTTTTAAAAAACTTGTGCCGTTTTTTGCATGCGTAGTTACTTCTCTGCTTTCACTGCTAAGATATATGTGGCGCTTGGTAACTGCACTTGAGTTGTTAATTATTATTTACTCTAGGTATTAAATTTTGGTTAAAAAAAAAAGATAGGCATAACACGTCGGCAGAAAAAATTGTCAATTTTTCCACACACGGTTTTCTGTGTGTGCTTGAACAATCGCTCGACACACGCTGGACGTATCAGTGCGTACATATCAGTAAATGATCAACTGATACGAAGTAATGCAAATTACCGCGTGAATTCTCGAGACATCAAAAGTTACAGAATATCGAAAACCTTATGTGAACACATTTCATATTGGCGCCAACACAATTACAATTTCGTTCCAATTACACAAAATATTCTTTGAGGATTATCAAGAACTTGAAATTGACATTCTCAAATATCTTTCTGTCGTTGCTTCAAAAGTGAAATAAATGTTTATTTCTATATGACTTTTGAACTTTGCTGTAAATTTCTGATTTAGGAAGGTCCATTGAATTAACTTAAACAGCCATGATCACTGAACATGCAAGCAAAAATAGTTTATAAGGGAGAGATCAAGAAGTACTAGAAGATCAAGAAGATATCATTGTTAGACATACCGTTTAAATGGAAAGACCTACTCAAGTTAGTCTATTTCCAGAATGTAGTCCTACAGATGATCACAAATGTTAAGATATCCGTAGACAGGCAAAGAAACCGCTGGTGGTAGAGTTCCTGCGACGATGCAACTTTGCCGTTACAAGCTATGTCTGAATTACTTGGCTATGGCTAGAAAATAATACAAATGCTAGTCGGCACCTTAAAGCATTTCCCATGGATGCACGGGTTGTTATTTCCAGGCAATTTATTCGAATACAGCCATTAGTTCCCTGCCTGCAAGAGAACATTTGGCAATGCACCTTCAGATATGTCACTGTGGAATTCCCTGCTTCATGCAAAGACGTCACGTATCTTACAGGCATTTGCGATCGGGCATCGAGATAGGTAGCTTGACATTTAAGAGCCCCCTACCGGTATCTATCCAATGATCGCATCCTTTCCAGAAAAAAAGCCACTCTGCCCCCGAAACAACACAGAACAAATCCCATTAAAATTCGATGCCATGGGTTATTCGCATAATTTCCACATGTTTTGTTTAATTCATAAACGATTAACTTCGAATTCGTCTCGAGAAGACTGGAACGCCCAAATGTTACAATGAATGCAGTCAATCCGCCTCTCCAAAAGATCAAAACGTCTCTCCATTTGATTTCGTCGGATTTCAATGGAAATCGTCTCAAATATTGATGACGTACGTAATGTGAGGATTGAATTCGTTTTTGTTTGATCGATTTCAAGAATAGTCCCATCAAATTTACGGGATGGTGCACAACCATGCATGGTAAATATGTATTTGGCAGGGTGTAGGCCTACTGCAAATATACAAGAAACAAATGTTAGTTGAACAACCATTGATCCAAATTACAAGAAGAGCAACAACTGAATTGACAGTTTGTGAAGATATGAAAATAAAATACATTTTGGTTTTCATACGTAAAGCTTTCCTTTTTCTACGTGACATGGAAAGTACACAGCTTCAGTTGCCTATTTTTATAGACTTTATTTCTTCCAGTTGTTGATGCATGAAATTGTAGAAGAACTTTGATAAGTATGGAAAGGATATAGTAGTTATGTTTATTTATAGATGTAAGACCTATGTTCAATAGGGAACATACTTAACGGACACATAATAATAAAGTAATTTTTTTGCCAATAGTTTCTTATGCAAGAAGCTGTAACATCCTCCACATCAAGACTAGAGCCCTTGGAAATCACCTGTAAAGAGAAAACAAACCCTTTCTTTTCAGGGCAAAGCGACATACACATTGTCTGAACGCATAGCTATTTTGAAAAGTAGCAAAATCATGTCGTTGTTTGTGGTTCAGAGATTATACAATACAGGGGGATAAAATGTAAAATCTCACCTTCGGATGTTTTTGGATTTCTCTCATAACGATGCACGTCCGATCTGCCATAAACGCCGCCACCAGGGGCCAATTTCATAGAGCTGCTTAAGCACAAAATTCGTTTAAGCGTGAAAAAAACCTTGCTTAAAAATCAAAGGTTACCAGCTCAAACTCTATCTGATTGTCATGCTAACAAAAAGACAGCTATACCATTCCAAAACAATATACATCACATGGAATTTTGGCTCGTTACCTGATTTTATCAAGCAAGGTTTTTCGCGCTTAAGCAAATTTCGTGCTTAAGCAGCTCTATGAAATTGGCCCCAGAAAGCATCGAGATATTACAACGCAATCCCTTGGGACTTGATGGCGATTTTAATTATTGAATGCTTATGTCCATTGACGGCATGCCAGTTTTAGGGAAGACTTGGCCCAACTGTGTCAAACAAAAAGACAGGTTCTGTTCCTGACTGCGGAGTGTGCAAACATCCCGGTACAGTGGGCTATAAACGGACGGGCGTAGGCTAGCAGCAAAAATTAATTTCTAATGAAGGATAGGTCACTTTATAAAATATTGATTGCTTTGACCAGTTTAGTAAGAGGAACTTAAAAAATGCACATCATTCAACTCTTTCATGTATCTGTCCCAAGCGCCAACCTTAAAACCTGGGTTATTCTTCTGACTTTTTTCTTCGCTTCGAATTCCGCCGTATAAAGTCTGGACGAAATCGGTTTACTCAAGTAAAGCGCAGAAATGTTATATCACATTTCATAATTAAGAGCCACTGCTACAGTTCAATATTATGTAATGCGCGTTTTTGTGCAGTGCACGATTTGTGACACAGAAAATCCTTTCCAGGTCCAGCATTTTACACTCTGAACTCTTCCGGGTCAGATTGACCCAGAATTGGGTTCCATTCGGTATAACCCTTTTCTGGGTCCAAATATGACCCCCTTCGGATCATGTTTCACACTTTGGGGTCATAATTTGACCCGGAAAAGGGTTATACGGATGGGACCCAATTCTGGGTCAATCTGACCCGGAAGTTTTTAGAGTGTATAACAATTCTCGAGATTCCGAGAAATAATGAAGTCAAGGAAAGAGAATGGGCCATCTTCTGTCACATATTTTGGGAACAAATGCGAATGTACAGGCAATTTTAATGCCGTTTGAAAAAAAGCGTTCGCTCCCAATACGACAGATGCCGTACGAGACATCTGCGGCTATTTCCCGGACACAGCCATCAAAGGGACTACAAAAGGGGCCCATGTAAATCATAATGTCTCTAAGAAACTTCAGAGCAGATGTTTCACAAGGAGGACTAGACAATAATTAGAAGGACATTTTTGCCTTCAACGAGGGAAAACTGCGTTCGATTGCTCATTTTGTTTGACTCAACCTGCGCCGATAATCATCCGGAGCACACATGAAAAATAAATCAAGACTTGAGGCGGAGCTTTATTAAGAAACACGTTTTGCTTTGTCTTGTCCATGGCTAACGCCGACAGCATTGTCACGGCAGCATACTGCCCTGTTCTAGACGTAATAGGCTCCCGGAAAACCACTGCCGTTTGCTGTCGGGGGGGGGGATGTTGCCGTGTTTAGATGCAAAGCTACAAAAGTCCTGGAGTGCCGCTGTCGACTTTATATTTTCAAAAAGGGAAGTATATTTCTCTTTCCAAGTTCGTTTGTTCGAGATATACATGTGTATTCTCCAGATCGTCCCCGAAACAGAAACAGAGACAGAAACGTTGTTTCTATTTTGGAAAAAAAATCGTTTTACGAGATATATTTTTATACGAGTTCATTTTTACGAGATTCTTTTTAAGTTCGATTTTATGAGTTGTACATATTTTTGTAAAGTTTGTTTTGTAACAGATAAATCCAAACCTGACAATTTGTATTTCCTAAAAATTTACGTCGAAAAATATCTCTCATAAAAAACAAACTTTACTAGGCCTAAATATATCTCCTAAAATGATTTGTTACCAAAAATAGAAACAATATTTTTCAAAATATATCTCATTAGAAAGAACTGGAGAATGTGTATGCCTTTGGAAAAAAGATATCTCGTAAAAATGAAGTCGGAAAAATACACCTGTCTAAAAACAGACTTCGAAGACATACACTTCACCTTCTGAAAATATATTCCTGATGGCACTACAAGGCTTTCGTACATAGCTGGTAAATAAGTGCTTTGAATTGTTTTGCTTCTGTAATGTCGCGAGGCTGTCTCTCGTTTATTGTCAGAGACTATTTTGAAAATAAAGGATTTCTGGTATGAGTGTATGATTTTATGACATTACCTATAACTACTCCTGTTCGGGGAAATCTTTTTTAATTTTTTTTATCAAGTGACGGGATCTCCGTTTACTGGAAGACCGACTTAGAAAATTTGTCCTTCAAATTGGAGAACGTTTTTTTTTTTGCTTCTACATTCACCCATGCATATACCTGAGATGCCCTTATCGGTTGAACACATCCGAGGAACTCTACC